AGGGTGGTATAGATCAGCTAATCTATCCCTTCAAAATTAGGAGCGGATAGAACAGATAACACTCGAGTATCTTTACGCGAAAATTCAACAGAAGAAACAAACAGATCCAAAAGTATATTATTCAAGTCAATTTGTTATTTCTCACAAACACCTCTCAGCATTTAAAACTTATATTTCAACAAAGAGATGGAGAATCATTACTCTTAACAATTGAACTAAAAGATTAGTTTATAACTCTGTAAGATACTTGGAAGTTTTAAATGTAGATTGCAGTAAAACTAGAGGACACAAGTTTAATATAAAAGTAAGACATAACTCCACTTACGGCAATGTATTTAAGATATGATTTAGATACTGAAAGTGAAAAAAGTTTTTTTTTAAAAAGTAGTTTGGAGTGGGAAGGTACTGGATAACCTTGAGCACAGTAGATAGACAAAATGGAACCTTCTTTTCCTTTGCAAATGAATTTTTATGAATAATAATGAAATGAACAGAGATAGTGTTTACAAAATTCTTGCTTTTCAAATTTCGGTCTAGCTACGCCCAAAGTTAACCATGTTACTTTTAAGTCTAGCATAACAGTATAGTATTATTACTGTTACTATACTCCTCAACCAATGGTAACTGAATAACTAATAGTATAATATATAAGCGTAGGCCTATTAGGCTAGTACTATAACTTACAAGTATAATTTATCATTATATTTATAATGTTATATGGTTAAACGTAAGTTAAACTAACAGTAACATACAGAAATTCATTTGAAAATTTCTTTAAAAGAAGTATCTTCATTCTAATTTATGGACAAGGATAATAAAAATGAATGCAAATTACTTTTAGAAAGGTTTGTTTGTTTTTTCGAGCAGTATTATTAAAATTTTCAACAAACTATCTTTAGTCTGAATCTTTAAATGACACTCCGGTTCCAAGCATTACAGACCAGACAGCAAAAGACCGCGCTGCCCTCTACACATTAAGCATACGGGACGTAAGATTAAACAAATTTAATATCTTCCTGTGCCGTTTATCTTCAGAATTGCTTTAGACAGATTATATACAAAAAAATGGTTTTACAATTATGTTGAATTAATTTAAATAAAATAACCAGAAATCAATAATTTTCAAATTAATATATAAAACTAATCTTCCAGAATAAAAAAAAAGTATTTTGATATATTTAAGTAACATCGGATCTAACCCTATCAAAAATAAACGAGCTTTTCTATTTGCTAGTGATATATTTAATGATGCCTCGAAAACCTAACTGAAATGTAAGGTACACAAAAACAAATGATAATAAAGAGACGACTACAGCCTTCGACGTATACTTTAATAATCACGAATAATAGATAGGTTACGAATTTTCTTTGGTATGGCTCAGTTAAGTCATTTTGTTTTATTTCTTTGCTACCACTCTTTTGAGATCGGGGAAGGTGGGCATGGTATAGTTTATGAATTTCTCAAGTCTGTTTTGGCTCACCATTTAGCGATTTAAAATGATGTGGTTGTTATGTGCTGTTTTGAAAATCGAAAGGTGAAAAAAAAAAGTTAGAAGCAAAATGACAATGAATACACTCCGTGCTTTCAGCTTTCTGGTCGATATAACTGTGATAATCAATCCCACTATTCTGTTAAGAGTAGCCGTGTAGTCAGCGATTACTGCTGATTAGTTGCTATCCCTCCCATAGGTCAGCAGCTGTAATTTAAAGACGGCCTTTTGCTTAGCCGTTCAGCTCATGTGTCGCATAAAGTGTCACTGAAAACTAAATACCAATGGAACTTGAATTGTTCCACGTCTGGTAGTATTTGTTTTTAGACAGGTTGAGCCGCACTGACACCTATCAAATCATAGCACTGGTAATAGTTTAAAGAAGTAGATAATATAACTGACAGAAGGAAGTCTCGACTACACTTGTCGACATGATCGTTTTATAACTATTCGATTATCCATCTATCTGGATATCTTTTTCCCAATATATAGTTGGATTGATAATCACATTACAACGGCCTCACGAGTGAAAGAGGGAGCATTTTCGGCACAATGGTCGAGCATCCTAACCACCAGGTTATATATTTAATAAAAGGAAATTAAGTTAAAACCGTGGCATTGAAAGCTGTTATCTTGTTCAGCTTAAGTTATTAATTTAATTTTTATCTGTAAACTTATGTCCTGTATATAGTTTGATTGGTTTTAAATAAATATTGTGTGTTCCTAAATTGAACTAAATTACTTTATATATTAATTATCACCAAGTATGATTAATTACTAATTAGTTTATCATTGTGTTGAATGTGAAATTATATTTCAGGGATAAGTTTGTTTTTTATCACACATTATTAGTGGACAATATTCGTTGCTATTATTATTACTTAAGCAGTTATTACTTAAGTTATTACTCAAGCAGTTAGCAGCATTGGTCTGTGCATTTTTTGCCCCGCATGGCCAGAGGGTTAGAACGCTCGACTCGCAATCTGAGGGTCGCGAGCTCAAATCTTCGTCTAACTAAACATGCTCGCCCTTTCAGCCGTGGGGGCGTTATAATGTTATGCTCAATCCCACTATTCGTTGGTAAAAGAGTAACCCAAGAGTTGGCGGTAGATGGTGATGACTAGCTGCCTTCTCTCTAGTCTTTCACTGTTAAATTAGTAACTACTAGCGCAGAATAGTCCTCGTGTAGCTTTGCGCGAAATTCTAATTCTGCCTTTTTGATTATAATAGTTGTGTTACCGAATTTTAAATAACTTATAGAATATCTATATAAACAAAGTGTTTAACCTTTATTAAATACAGAAGTAGACGAATGAATAAGACTTTTCCTCTTCAAATTTCAGAACATACAAATGTTAGTTTGAAACTGATTTGAGCTTTCTAAATCCATCTACCAGGAAAATGCATCTCAGGCTGGTCAATTATAACTTTTCAGACGTTTATCTTAAGCATAAGTAAATAACATAATTCTTTTTTGGACCCAAAGCATCAACTTATTTTTCTCTCGAACTTATACTATAGATTGAAATAATATTTTTCTTCATACAATTACACACAGTTTTTATTTTATACCTACACGCTTTCGTCCTCTTTGTTACAAAATCATAATTTACAACCTATACATATATATATTTACAAGTACTAGGTAAATCCTAGGCTAAAGTCGACACTTAAACTCATTCTAAAACTAGCCTGACCTATTCACTATTTAGTTTAAAATTTGTACTGTTTTATAGCTATGCATTTTTCTGGGCATAGCATAAGCTGAATGTGATTATCCTTTCTTATATTTGCAACATCTTCAAAAACTTTCATTAGTCTTAGCCCACACAAAATATAGATTTACTGTTATTAATTTCATATATTTATTACTATTATATACATGTTTATATAAACACAATTATATTTTATTGTACCTTTGTATTCACAAAGACAATTAGAGTATCCAAAATATTATAAAATGATTTATTAAATATCGAAAAAAATTACACCAGAGCATTTTATTAAAATGTCTGATACTTCTATAGTCTAACAGAATGAAAAGTGTTCGGATCTTGAATACCCAAAGTGTGAAATATTATTATGGGTGTTTGTTTATGGTGCCAGTTGATAGATGGCGCCACATTTCATAAACCTCAATCACCACTTCTGGCATTGAGATATTCTTATATTTCAGCACAACAGATGGCATTACCATATTTATACTATATTTAAACTATTTTTATAAACTATATTTAAATAGTACACATTTGCCGTAACAGATGCATGAAATACAAATGTTATAAATTGGAAAAGAAAGATCATTTGTTTGACTATAATTATTGTTTTAAATTTGCTTGGTTTTTGACGAATAATGTACGAATATTCCAATTATTGACAATTATAAATATTAGTTAAACATTATTAATAATTAGTCAACCTATTGATGATAATTTTACTCTTTATTCTAAGTGAT